AAAAAAATACACTTATTTGTTTTTAAACATATCTCTATTAGTTATTTAATGTTAAACAACAACCGTTAACTATTATATAAACAAATAGTTATATTTATCAAATTCGCTATTTATTATCCGCTATCCACTTTCCGCTATCCGCTAACCGTCACCCGCTACCTGTTACCCGTTACTGCCATCCGCTATTCGCTGAATTTTAACCGTTGTACCAAACATGCCCTTAATATTAATTATGAAAAAAAAAAAGTATATCAATTTTGATTCTCAAAAATAATTAGAATTTTAATTTTAAATTACGTTATTTTATTTAATTAAAATTAAATTTAAAATTTTAAAAATTATTTTATTAAATATTAATATATTAAAATATATAATAAATTTCTAAATTTATATATTAACATTTAATATAATGAAATTTTAATTTTTAAATATAAATTAAAATTTTAATTATTTTTTAAAATTGAATATGATACACACTAATCTCATTAGTTACTTACTAATATTTTCCCAAAAAAATACATAATTTGGATAAAGGATTTAGAGCTATACTGCAGGGCGCCATTGAAGTTCGCTGCCTTTTGATTGGACTATCGTTCTTTTTTTTTTTTCCCTTTCATTTTAAAAAAAAAATTTAGATTGTATTCTTTTTATTCAATTTTAGTAGGTTTAATTTTTAATTTTAGGTGTTCAAATTAGTCACTTTTTTCATTGATTTTTAGTAGATTTAATTTTTTCTATCTAATAAAATAGAGATAGAAATGTAATAATTTATTAATAAAATTTTTTATTTATCCCTAATTATATACTATTTAAATAATATTTCTTATTTAATATATATTGTAACTATATTTTAAAATAAGATAAAAATAAAAATAAAAATATTTAATGATATTTTAAAAAGAAAGAGTGGATAATTAAATTTGAATGCCCTAAATAATAAACTAGGTCTAATAAAATTGATGGAGTATTTACTATTCCTTTTTAGAATATTATATAATGGAATAAAAATTCACTTATATATAAGTTTTACTTATCATATTTACAAAATGGGTCAGTCCTTACCCATTTTACCTTTAAAAAATTAAGAGAAAAAAATGACCAAATAAACACCATAATTCATGCTTTAAAAATAAAATATTTTAATCTTTTTCAATATGTGTTTATTAAAATGACGTAATTTTAAAATAATAATTTTTTTTTAATTTTTAAGAAATAAGATGAATAAGTATTATTCCCTTTGTAAAAAATCCTAACTATCTATTTTTTCATTTTTAATTGTTGAGATTTATTATAACTTTTTAGATAAAAAATATAATTACATTTAATAAATAAATATGATAAAAAATAAATAAATCTTAACTATTAAAAATAAAGAAATAAATGATTAAGATTTTATATAAATATGATACATAAGATTTTTATGTCTATTTAATGTGTTTATTCCTATTTTGGTATTATTTTAAAAAAATTAGAATATGTATTAAATAAAAAATTTATTGAATAATTATTAATTAAAGATATATATAAAATTTAATTAATTAATTATTATATCTCCATTTTAAGCAAAAAAAAACTAAATTTATTAAAATCAAAGAAGACACAATGGAAAAGCCTCTCATATATGTGACTTGAATCAATAATATCTTTAAAATTGACACAATTTAAGGTAATTTATTCATGTTGAGATTAATTTAACTCCATATGATGTTAAGGGCACACCCTACTCTAGCTTAATAATACATTTTAAAAAAGTTAAGTGTCCTTCTACTGTTGACCTTAAGACATTAAACTTATCATCCTTGATCTGTTTAAACGGTGGGTAGTTGAGGCCGCCTTCTCTTCAATGTCTCTTCATAAAGAAGCATTATTTAAGGTCACATTTCTCAACGACATCCCCAATGAAAAGAAGTATACCTAGAAAAAGCTAAAGATTCTTGTGAATGTGATTATATAAAAGGTTTTCTTACTTTGTGTTTTAAAAGTATAGATTAATTATATATTTATAATTTTTTATTATTAATTTATAAAAAAAATATGAAAATAAATTTTATTTTTAATAAAAATAATATGAAAATAATTTAATTAAATAATTAATAAATTTTAAGTTAATTTTTATTTTTTATAAAATAAATGATAAAAAATGTGAAATAAATGCACTTGTAAAAATTGGTTAAAAATTTTCTTATATAAACATGCATAAAAGTTACGTTTATTTTAATAATAATAATGTTATTATGTATATACTTTTAATTAATTAATTAAAGTTATATTTATCATTGTTGTACTGTACTATAATGTTAATAATAATAATGTTATTATGTATATACTTTTAATTAATTAATTAAAGTTATATTTATCATTAATATTGTTGTACTGTACTATAATGGTTAGTTTTTATATTTTTTATCTCAATATATATAAAATATTAATTAAAATTAATTAAAATATATAAAAAGATTAATTAAAATTAATTAAGAAATAAAAATTTAGACTTTTAGATCACGTGCTATCTGAAAAAACCTGTGTCAAGCACTGCTCATGAATACGTAAATCAAAATTAAGATTTATACTTTCCATTAAATTGGTAATTATAATTACGTCCTTAATTTTTGCACTAGTCGAAAGGTCAACATTTATCACCAAAGTCTGAACTTTTGAGTTTATTTTTTGGATCAGATCATGAGCTGGTCTCTATAAATTGGTTGTTCCTTCGTGGATTTTTTGCACTCAAGCAGAGGACGAAAAATCAACAATCTTTGGTTCCCTCTCCTCTGTTTTTTGCTTTCTGTCACTGTAATTCTTTTCTCCGGTGTTGTTTATAATGACTGAGTTAATTAACGGGAATCATGCGGTTGCGTTAGATGTTAGAGATGGAGACGCCACCGACAACCCTCCTCCGGAGGTCACCAGAAAAGACTCCGACCTCAGTTTCTCTGTTCCTCTCTTTCAGAAGGTAACTCAGAGTCAATCATATATTTTGTCCTTTCCTTTGAAAACCCATTTTGTGTTTTGATCTTAGTTTGAGAATTCCAAACACTGAATCATGGGATATTGGTGTTGGATTTGCAGTTGATGGCGGAGGCGGTGGGGACATACTTCTTGATATTTGCCGGATGTGGATCGGTCGTGGTGAATTTCGACAACAACAAGGTGGTGACACAACCGGGGATTTCAATTGTGTGGGGTTTGGCGGTGATGGTCCTGGTTTACTCTGTTGGTCACATCTCCGGTGCCCATTTCAACCCTGCCGTCACCATAGCTTTTGCTAGCTGCAAGAGATTTCCTCTCAAACAAGTAATCTCCATCATAGTCAATTACTCAATTCTTTTTTCCTTTCTAAAAAGTTGTTACCTATTACATCATGTCAGTAGTTGAACAAGAGGAGACAATTCCTTTTTTGTTTCTTTGAATTGGTGGACTAAAATAAACTTTTTTTTATACAGGTTCCGGTCTACATAGCAGCTCAGGTTCTTGGATCAACACTGGCTGCCGGAACTCTTCGATTACTGTTCAACGGAAAACATGATGTTTTTTCTGGAACATCCCCACAAGGCTCATATATGCAAGCCTTTGTGATTGAGTTCATAATCACATTCTACCTCATGTTCATCATTTCCGGTGTCGCCACTGATAACAGAGCTGTTAGTTCTTCCTCTCCATCTCTTGATTTGTTTATTATCTTTTGGGTTAAAAAAAAGGTTGAAACTTGTTTTCTTAATGAACTTTGTCAAAGTTGGTGGCCTTTCTCACCTGTTTAATAGCATTATTATTAATTATATATTAATCAACTAAACTGATTCGGGATTGGATGAGTGTCTCAACGTATAAAAGCTCTAATTTAAACTCCTAGTTAGCAGTATTAGGTTTGAACTTGATAGAACTGGTGGGAACAGATTTGAAAAATTGAAGGTTAGCTCCAATTATAGCGTGTATGTACCAACAAATATTAAATTGCCTGTAGATTCCATGGCAATTTGATAATAATTTTAATGATATTGACCTAATAGTTTAATTGATCTTATCTGTATGCAGATTGGTGAACTAGCAGGACTGGCAGTTGGAGCTACTGTGTTGCTTAATGTGATGTTTGCAGGGTGCGTATTAACTTAATCCAAATCCATTATATTAAAACTTGTATCATTGAAGTGGTTCCCACAAACCTTTGGATTCTAAACGGTTAAGAAAAGCATGTTTTATAGCCTTTCTTTTGACTTAGTTCCAAGCGTACATAATCTTGATATTCTGTTTGTTACACAGGCCAATCACAGGAGCATCAATGAACCCTGCGAGGAGCTTGGGGCCTGCAATTGCATCAAACCACTGGGAAGGGATATGGATATATCTAATAGCACCTACTCTTGGGGCAGTATCAGGAGCATGGGTTTATAACATTGTGAGGTATACAAACAAGCCATTGCGCGAGATCACCAAGAGTTCTTCTTTCCTCAAGAGTGCAACGCGTGTGTAGTTGTGTTAGTTATCATAGCTCACACAGGTCTGGTCTTTTTATGTAAGGCTTCAAAGGTCATGTTTGCTCCTTTTGTTTGTCGATCAGGGAATGAATTAGTGAATTAAGATTATGAAGCTCTTTTCCAAGTTCTGTATATCCACATGATCCAAACCACCAATAGCGTTTTCTTCATTTTTGCCGCGTGAAAAATTAAAAGGAAGATAATTCAATTCAACTACCATGTGAGGGAAGAACTTCAAGAAACATGTTATCAATATAACAGTTGGATGAAATCACATGAATCATGTTGAGCATGACTGTATGAAGTTCCAGTTCTGAAAGATTAGTCATAATGTTCAAAACCATTTACTAACTAGGTAAGAATAATATTAAACCCCTCGTATTATGACTGTAACAAAGATAATTATACAGACATGTATTGTGAATCTTAACTTGCATTGTTGTATGGTTTCAGCTAGTACAAGTATACCACCAATATACATCAGGGTATAAAAAATTAAAAAATGACAGACTAAAGGTGAGGTTTCATCGCAAGGGTAATCTATTTTGTTAGAGAGCATATTAAGTAAAAACCTACCTGCATCTAGCAATGTCAACTCTGCAGCGCCTCATTTTGTTTGTGCAGAATCTGCAGATCCACCTGCTGACCTTGTTCTTGGAATGAGCACAGGTCTACAACAGATTAAAGCACCCAGCAACTCCATAATAAACGTTGTGATGCTGACCCATACAAATATAGTTTTCTTCCAATACCAAATAATCCTCTTGAATAAAGGAAGTTCAGACTCAAGGATTAGGGACGCATCGTATATCTCAGGAATACCTGCACCAGGTCTGTACTCTGCTCGTTGTTCAATCATTACCCTCAAGCAAGCTGTTGGCACCTCTCTTTCATTTAAACCTCTGATTTTGAGATTCAGAGTCTGGGATTCTGATATGTAGCCAGCAAGTAGAGGAGCAACGTGGAGGAAGGTTAGCAAAAGGCGTATGGGCTCACTTTTGAATTTCAACATGCACGGATGCCTTGAACTGGCAAGGATCTTACCATTATATGACAGGAAATCCACCCTAACCTTCAAAGAATAATTAAATAATTTGAACTAGCATTCATCAACTACGGATACAAGACATCAAAATTTAAAAACACGACAAGGGTAAACAAAAATAGAAATCACTACTGAGAAACATAAAACATTTAATTGACACACAGCATGAATCATTAAGTTCTAATGCTTGAGAGCAGAGTGGCAGTTCATGCTACCCACTTGCAATTTCATCTAAACTTTAGAAATTCTCTATACTTAATTATCTTCTTCCAAGGGAAGAAGAGGTTACTAACATTATCAACAGAATATAACCCCTTCTGTTGTTACCATAGCCTATACATATTATCAACTAATGAGACTGAATTCTATGGCTCAAGAAACCAATAAAGGCATCTCAGACAAATGTTCTGGCAATAACTTTTAAGGAAATACAGCCTGGGGCTAAGATATTTTAAAGAAAAGATTTGAGGGGAGAGAACATGTTGCCTACTTGCAGCGAATGTTGTAACCCATTTCAGAAGGTTTCCCTATAACGAGAAAACAATGTGTCACAAGTCACATCCTGCAACTATTTTCTCTGAATAAAAGCAGAACACCCTTCAATATCTCTGGAAAATAAATGACCAAGACTGCAATCTTTTCTCCAGTAAAGGTGTAAATAAGGATTCCAACTTTGTATTTTTTTTCTATTTAAGGATGTTAACTTTGACAGTTTCTAAATAAGGATGTCAACTTTTAATTTTTTTTTAAATAAGGATGTTAACTTTGTCAATTTCTAAATAAGGATATCAACTTTCAACTTTTTTCTATTTAAAGATGTCAACTTTCAACTTTTTCTATTTAAGGATTAATTGAATAGTGATGTTGACGTGGCTAATATATTTTTTAGGTTAAATACCTAAATTGGTCCCTCAACTTTTATTTTTGAATCAATTCATCCTTGAACTTTAGAAAGTACCAAAAATGTCCTTCAACTTCAATTTTCAATAAATAAAATTATTTCCTAATTCATGGAAGAATTAATTAAATTTTATTTAACTTTATTAAATGGTAGGTGGGACTAATTAAATGGGAAAATATATTAATTGTTTTAATTTTTAAATAGAAATAAAGTAAAATTAAGAATTAAAGTAGTTTATAAATTATTTAAAATTAAAAAAAATCCACATAATCATCTTTTACATGATGGATTTTCCACCTAATATTGAAAATGTAAAATAGTCAATCACTTAGCGAAAAAATTAGTTACATCAACATTTAATTGACGGAAAGACGAAATTGAAAATTGAAGTTGAAGGACGTTTTTGGTACTTTTTGAAGTTCAATGATGAATTGGTTCAAAAATAAAAGTTGAGGGACCAATTCAAATATTTAACTTAAAAAAATATGTTAACCACGTCAGTATCACTATTCAATTAATCCTTAAATAGAAAAAGTTGAAAGTTGACATCTCTAAATAGAAAAAGTTGAAAGTTAACATCTTTAAATAGAAAAAAATTGAAAGTTAACATCCTTATTTAGAAACTGATAAAGTTAACATCTTTATTTAAAAAAACATTGAAAGTTGACATCCTTATTTAGAAACTGTCAAAGTTAATATCCTTAAATAAAAAAAAAATACAAAGTTGGAATCCTTATTTGCACCTTTACTCATCTTTTCTCTAGTTATTGAGCTTTTCCTCAGACCATCTCACTCCAAACCCCATGAGGACACGGGCCAAGTTCACCCCAATAAACAACAAAAAGCGTTATGGCAAAACAGGGAAAAATGGCCTCCTGTAAAATCTATACTATAGAAAACTGTTGACAATAGAAGCCGATTGAATTGCAGAACTTTAGAGGAATACTAGGGTGGCATTGCATTCTGATTCCGACAAGCAGGAAATTCAATAGGCTGCATTCTAAATAGAGTGACTGCAAGGAATCTTAATTTTCTACCTAGAATCACTTTTAGCTTATTACTTATATTATAACTCTATGAAAAGTTAAAGAACTGCACAACAGATACAACTACTAACCCCAAATTGACTCATAAATAGATGCAGAAACAAACATGAAGAAAATTAAACTAGCTGGAAAAAGGGACCAATTCTGCATTCAAAATTAAACAATTACCTGGAAAATCCCCAGCCGTCTGTTGTACTCTGACTCGGGCAATGTCAAAGAAACAGTAGCCTTCAACATGTGATCAGGTGGAATAACCCGTGAACCAACATTATTCCAAACCTCGGTCTTCTCCATACAATTTGTATCACAATCAACACCAGCACAAGATGAAATGGGCACAAATGCAACTGGACTGTTCTTAGTATAATCAAAATTCAACATTTCCTTCATCTGTAGTGGCTCCTCCACCAAATACCTCATGAAAAACCCACCAATCACAAATGATGAAATCAGTAGCCCAGACAACACACAGCAAACATATCCAGCCCAGAACAACCCCCACGCAAATCGAAACACCTGCTTCCATATCCATTTGTGCTCTTGCAATCCCTCGGAAATCAAAGGACATCCATAAAATACATTCCATAAATTACTCAGTTTTGCAATCACATAATTCCTAACACGTCTCAATGCTTGAAATGGATTGAAAATGAACAGGCAGCAGAAATATGATCCCCAAATGGGTAAGGTAATTGAACTAATTACCAAACTTATTTGAAACCCAATAGCCTTTATCACCAATCCAGCTATAAACACAAGCAAACTCGATGAAGAAGATAATGGTGACTCACTGGGTTCACCCCTGGAGCTCAAGTCCGAAGATTCACCGATTTTGTCAGCTGGGTCATTGTCTTTGGCCGTGGTTATCGTGGATTCCTCGTCGTTTTCCTGTTTTGTAGCTCGGAACGGGTTTACTCGTTCAGGGGACGACCCAATAACCTCTAAATTCTCCTCCTTTCCCTTCGAATCACCATAAAAACTACATCTTCCCTCTCTAAACCTCGTTTCTGATAAATCTTCAACAGTCGAACATTCTACAATCCCATCCTCAGATTCCCCGGCAGGGATCCCTCGACGGGAGATCTTCCTTCGACGGAGACCAGCTGTGGATGGTTCCGACGTTGTAACATTGGGTAGGTCGTCGAAGACGCAATCGTAAAACGGGAAATCGTCGAGGGCGTCGAGAAACTGGTCATTTTCTTCGATGTCGTCAGTTGGGTTGTCGGAATCCATAGGATAATGGGGCTAATTGTAAAGAAAAAGTATTTTGGTATAAAAACATCAAAGAGACAAACTTTGCAACAAATCTGCGGCTAAGATTGGAATGAAATTACTATTTACCAATCTTGATTTTTGTTGTCACTATTTTTTTTCAGTAAATAAAAAAAATTAAAATAGAGTTTGATACTCTTATAACTATTAAGAAAATACCCATCTTCTATGGATGAGTCATTCAAAAACTATCTTGCAATCAATATAACTATTAAGAAAATAATTTAAAGGTAATTTTTTATATTATTTTTCATATAATTTTATGTGTTATTTAAATAGTATTTTTTATTTTTTTAAATTATAATATTAAATATATTTATTTATATAATAATATATAAAAATTATATAAAAAATAATATAAAAAAATTATCCTTATATTACCCTAATTATTATTTGGAGAGAATTTTTTAATATTTGAATTTTATTATTTCGATAATAATTAAAAATAGCTCGGTATACTACAGTGCACAACATTCTCTATATAATTCTACTTCAATCTCTGTTTGACAGTCACAGGTGTTCCAAGTTGTTCTTCATTGTCTTGTCTTCCTTGCCAGGTGAAAAGTTTTTTCTTCTAAGCTCTGTCTTTAACTATTACGTTTCTACTTGTAATATCTCAATCAGTAATCTAACTCACACTTTCTCTCGTGTAACTAAAAAAAGGATGTTTCAGTGATTAAATTTTTGCATTAAAATTTTTTAAATTTAAGTTAAAATATAAAAAAATTTTGATTCATTTGGAAAAAAAAATTATGTATCAACAACTTAAATAATTTAAGTATTATTATTTTATTAAAAGTAAAAAATTTTAAATTCAAATCATATAATATAAGAGTGAAATAAGATAAAAATAAGAGATAATTACTTTCTATTTTACAATAAAAAAAATTATGTATTTATATAACACTTCATTGGTATACAAAAAAAATTAGAAATCATAAAAAATGTGATGTCACTGAAGAAAATTCATCAAAATATATCGTGTTACTTTCACAACTTGCCATGTCACACGTTTTTTGTCTATGTGTTACAAATTTGCTAAAATAACGAATGGTCCGTTTCGATCCAGTGGTATTGGATCTTGAGTTTGAGCTGTTCACACTTAATGGGTTGTAAGTTCGAATCTTACGAAAATCCTTTTTTTCCTCTCCCAATTAACACATTCGAGTCCTACGAAAATCCTTTCTCCCAATTAACCCTGTAAATAATTACAAATTGTTCAAAAAAAATTTTTTTTTTGCTAAAGTAGCAGTTCCATTGACTGAGATACCAAGGCTGAGTAATTCTTTCCGAGTGATTTCAACTTTTTTAAAGGAATACCCTTTTTTTCTGTATTCCATTCAAGGCCCTTGAAATGTTATCGGTGGCAGGACCAAAAAATCTAGATGCCAGCAAGTCTTTGCCACTAGTTATTTCTCTGCTTCTTCCGGGAACCTTTCTCTTGTCAATAATTCCAGGCTCCGTATTAAAAAAAAAAAAAGTACATTGATTGATTATTTTTTAATTTAACATATTGTTTAGTTTAAAATTGAAAATAAATAAATTTAAATATATAATTATATATATAATATAAAAATATTTTAAATTTATTATATATATTATATTTTAATAATTAAATTAAAAAAATAGTAAAAAATATGTAAAACTAAAAATATACCAATTATTTTTTATTAAAAAAATTAAAAACCAAATACAATAAAGATCTTTTACTTTTGAAGCAAAGGTTCCACACGATTTTTCTTTATTAATTATTTATTCATAAAAATAAGTCAACACAATTTAATTTAAAGTTAGTTATTCAAAGTTAAGCATCATTTTCCTTTTCCTCACCAACTTTCTTGGATAATTCCCTTTCTACAGTTCCTATGTATCCAAATTTGTGGGTCATTTACAGGGTTTCACTCCTTCTCGGTAACTATTTCATTGGATTAGTTACCTAATACTATTGATTCTCCTTACTCCACATGTGCACCCTATGTCCTACGCATGTGGTTTGGAAAATGTATCTCAGTTTCTATGAGTCGATATAAATGCTTCAAATTCAACATTCAAAAGCATATTTCCCATTTGAGCAAGCTACATATTGGCCATTGGTAAGCATGGAATGGTAAGGACCAGGTGTCCATATCGTGCCTAAACCGTTTGACTGGAATTTGTACTAGGTTAAACGTATTCAAGGAACTGAATTGCCAATTTTCAAAGAATAATAATAATGATCATTGTCTATAACCATAAAGATCTATGAGGGTCCGAGAGAGGAGGAAATTTGGGTGCAGAAGCTGGGAGATTCTTGTGTACCACAAATGGTTCTGAAACAAGCACTTTTGTTGTCAGTTTTGGTTTTGAGTTGGGTAGGGTTGCAAAGGACTGATGCTGCCAGCCTGCCTCAAGATGAGGGTATGATGAATTATCTTGGGTCATTTGTTCTTTTTAAAGTTGTTTAGTGACTTAGAATAGTATGGTTTCAATGTTATTGCAGTGAACGCTCTGAATCAAATTGCTAAAACTATGGGAGCTCATCGGAATTTTGATTCCAATGCATGTGGAAAGCGTGTTAAACCAGCTGTAGAAATGGCTCCTGAAACGAACATCACATGCAGCTGCCAGAGCGAGACCTGCCACATCACAGACATGTAGGTTTTTTCTTGAATCTAATTTCCAATGAACAAGTAAGTCTAACATGTGGATATTTATGCCTGGATGGTATTTGTGTTCATGCCACAACCAATGATACTAAGGAAAGTTTTGTTTTTGTTTTTGTTCCACCTCTTGAACAAAAATGCTTCCACGGAAAAAAATTCACTGATTAATAAATATTTATGTATCTAAACAGAAGGATCGATTCAGAACCCATTTGATTGTTCCCTAAAAGAAAAACTACTTGGGCTTTGTCTCTGTAGTAAAGATGAGGATGGGGAAGGAAAGGTGTAGGATACTAGGACTTATAGATATTTTAAACTGAAACTGGTTTCTGGTAATCAGTTTACCCTTTACAGAGTAGACCAACTGAAAAGATGATC